GCACAAGGGGGGGATGGCCAGGATGGTGGTATCGGCTGGTGCCCCCCCCGGAGTGGGAGCAGGAGGCCCATAGGGGTTACCTGCCTGCACCCGAGGAGGTGAGGCGGTGCTATTTGGCCTCTGTTGTCCTGGATTATAGGGTGGGGGAAGGTCAATGTCCTCCAGTGGAGATTGGAGGACTGAGGGACTAGACTGTCTAGGATATTCAGTTGCTGTATGTTTCGGGGTGCCCACAACTAAGACTCGAGAAAGGGTACACCGATGGAGCCAAGGAGGGGGGTTCTGAACAAGGTTTAACCATTGATCAATGTACGGAAACTGATTGGGATGTCTCAGGTCTCCCGTGACAATCTTCCAAACATTCCTCACTAAACCCCTGTCAAAAGAACTCTCCGGAGGCCAGTTTACACTAAAAGATGGCCACTCAACTTCACACAATGTTCTTAGTCTGCCTGGAGAAAACTTTATGCCATAATCAGCTCCCTCTAAAAACCCTTCTTTGAAATGTCGCAGGAGACACCCCAAGAGTGTCTTCTGTGAACTCGGGCCTCCTCGCATCGCTTGCATGGAAAACACAAGACAGACACTCAGACAAAAACAATTACTGGGTGTAGGTGGACCCGGAGAGATCCGCCACCTACAAATCACACAAGACCAAAGATAATAGACAGAATCCGATGACAGGGCACAGGAGGCGGCATCCTGCGGCCTGGCCACGGTCCGGGAGATATCACTGTGTCCAGTCTCTCCACAGACCCCCAACAACCGGTCAACAGAAACAGAAAGGTACCTTTTTATCTAGACGTCGAGGCTTCAGAGATTCCCAGAGGGATCAGGAACAAAGAGTGCGTCCTAAAGGTTGCATCCTTGATGATTGTATTGACCCTGTCACGGCATTCAAGGGCCCTGGAACGTCTCAGGGTGGCCACCCCTTTGAGTCTGTAACAGGGACAGCAACCGCTTCAGAGGCCGGTCCAATCTTAGATCTCAAGGCCACTCCCTGACATCTCGCTGAGGCCTCCAAATATTGTAGCTGCCAGCACCCAATAGACATACAACCACCAGAAATCAGTGAGTTATAGGAAACACACTCTTTATTCAGCCAGCTGGGTCTGCCACGGGTACGGAGACCTCAAATTAAGCAGCCCCAAAATGTAGAGGTACAGGGTTTTTAAGCCCTAAACCCCTATTCTTCATCCTGTTTAAACACACAAGTCTATTTTTCTTCTTTTTACTAACTGTCAACCCACAGGTCAGTTGTGCAAGCAGGGGGTACAGAAGCAGAAAACTTATTGTTAGAGCGTTATTTTCCCATGGGCGGTAGCCAAACAGTAATTTTCCAGCCAGCACAGTTTCTGTTGAGAAATCAGCTGACAGTCTTATAGGAGCTCCCTTGTAGATAACTGCTTTTCTCTTGCTGCTTGTAAGACTTCTCTTCACCTTTAATCTTTGGTATTTTAATTATGGGCCTCTTGCTGTGGGCCTCTTTCATCTTCTTTGGGACGGTGTTTCCTGGGTTTATATTTCCTTCGCCAAGTTTTCTGCCGTTATCTCTTCAAATAGGTTTTCAATTCCTTGCTCTCATTTCTCCTTCTGGCACCGTTGTGATGCAAATGTTGGTACTCTTGATGTCTCATAGTTCCCTTAAGTTACTCTCATTTTTCAAAATCCATTTTCTTTTTGCTTTTCTGATTGGGTGTTTCCTGCTACCTTATCTTCTAAATCGATTGTTTGATCCTCTGCTTTATCTAATCTACTATTGATTTCTTCTAATGTATTCTTTATTTCAGTTATTGTATTCTTCATTTCTGACTGGTTCTTTTTTTGTTTTCTATCTCCATTTTTGTTTCCTATCTCTTTGTTAAAGTTCTCACTGAATTCATCTACTCTTCCCCTTATTACATTGAGCATCCTTATAATCAATGTTTTGAACTCTGCATCTGGTAGATTGTTTGTCTCCATTGCATTTAGTTCTTTTTCTGGAGTTTTGTCATGTTCTTTCACTTGGGAAATGTTTCTTTGTGTCCTCATTTTGGCTGACTCCTTGCGTTTGTTTCTATATATTAGGCTGATCTGCTATGTCTCCTAGTCTTGGCAGCGTGGCCTTATAGTAGGTGTCCTGGGGGCCCAGTGGTGCATACTCCCTGACCACCTAAGCCAGGTGCTCCAGGGGTGTTCCTTGTGTAATTGAGCCTCAATTGCTGTTGCTATGTCAGTTGGAGGGATCGACCCTCAGGTTGACTGGCTATGAGGACTGGCTGTGACAGTGAATGAGCTATTGTGTGAGCTTATCCTATGGAGCAGGATTCGCTTAACTGGGACTCTGGTACCTGCTGAGTCCACCCTTTTGGTGTGTCATTTGTTGAGCAGAAAGATGGTACTCTGGTATGGTCTGAAGCTGGCCACCAAGTGTGTGAGTGTGAGTTCTGGGGCCTCTTGGGAGGAGATCTGGTGGAGGCCCATGTTAGCTGCTGTCTATGCCCAGCTTGGGGCAACCGGTAGGAGCTACAAAGTGATCTGCAGTTGGTTATCACCTGTGCTAAGAGAGGTAGGCTATGAACTGAGGCCAACTACCACTCGTGCCAGGGTTGGGGCCACTTATTGAGAAGTAGGGGGCACACTAATGCCAGCTGCTGCTTGTTTGGGATTTGTAGACATTTGAGAGATTTTAGGAAAGTCTGCAGTGCAAGCTAAGGCAGGAAGTTTGGGTGGAAAAGCAGCTGGAAGAGGCTCGGTTTGTGTGCTTAAGTTGGGTGGGACAAGGTCTCAGGAAATCACCAGGGCAGAGTAAACGATGTTAGCTAAGTTAATGGAGATCTCAGGTTTGGTTTCTGCCTGCCCTTCCTGGCTCATTGTGGGTAGGGCTCAGCAAAGGAACAATGGGGTCTGCCAGCATTCCCATGCCTACAGAGAGCTTTCCTGACCCATCCTTCCAGTCTTCACCCTGAAGTTAGTCAATTCGGCTCCTCCCTGAACATCTCTGGTACTTTCTGAGCTGTTGCCCCTGAGCTGGAGCACAGAGCAAGTAAGTTTGTGAGTGAGCAAGTCTGTGCACTATCCCCTCAAGAGAATGCCTTGGTCTCCAGCAGCCCCTCATCTAACTCAGATGTAATCCTCATTGTTTTTCACAGTTAGATGTTATGGGGACTTCTCTTCCTGGCACTGGTGCCCTGGTTTGGGGATCCCAGTGTGTGTCTGGGGCCCCTCCCTCCTCAGGGGAGACCTCCACAGCAGAGATGTTCTTCTAGATTCTTAACCACCACTCGTGGGTGTGGGGCCAGCCCATTCTGTGTCTGCAGCCATCCTACCAGTCTCCATATGGCTTCTTTATATCCTTAGTCAGAGGACTTCTATTCATCTAGTCTTCAGGTAGTTCTCAATGACGGTTGTTCTGTAATTTACTTTTAATTGTGGTGTGGTTGTGAGAGAAGGTGAGCACAGAGTTTACCAACTCCTCCATCTTGACGGGAAGTCCTGATAATCCCATTTTAAAGAAACTGTTTTAGAAAATAGAAAAAGATGAATGGGCCACCATTTCTTTTATGAGGATAATATAATCAATATCAATACCAGACAAATACTGTAAAAAAAAGTTTTTAAATATAGGCTAGTCTCATTTATGAACACTGAAGTAAAACTGTCACTATTTGCAGATGACATGATTCTATATATAGAAAACTTTAAAAATTTCACCAAAAGAATATTAGAGACAATAAACAAATACAGTAAAGTTGCAGTATACAAAATCAAAATACAAAACTTATGGCATTCCTATATACTAACAATAAAATATCAGAAAAAGAAATGAAGAAAACAATCGCATTTATAATTGTAACAAAAGTATAAAATTACCTAGGAATAAACTTAACAAAGAATTGAAGGACCTATACACTGAAAAGTTCAAGACATTGTTCAAAGATATTGAAGAAAACACAAAGAAATGGAAAAATATTCTGTGTTCATGGAATGGAGGACCGTTCAAATGGTCATATTACTTAAAGCAATGTACAGGTTTAATGCAATTTTCATTCAAATCCCAGTGGCATTTTTCACAGAAACAGAACAAAAAATTCTCAAATTTGTATGGGACCCCCAAAGAACCCCAAATAACCAAAGACATCCTGAGGAAAAAAAGAACAAAGCCAGAGGTATTATATTCCCTGACTTCAAAATATACTCCTAAGCTACAATAATCAAAACAGTAGGTATTGGCAGAAAAACAGACAGAGACCAATGAGACAGAATCCAGAGCCCAGAAATAAACCCAGACATATATGGGCAAATAATTTTTGACAAAGGAACCTAAAACATACAATGGAGAAATAAAAGCCTCTTCAATAAATGGTGTTGGGAAAACTGGAAAGCCACAAAAGAATGAAACTAGATTGCTGACATTATACACAAAAATTAACTCAAAATGGATTAAAGACTTGAATATAAGACCTGAAACACTAAAATACATAGAAGAAAACATAGGCTCTAACCTTATAGATCTTGGTCTCAAAGGGGTTTTTGTGAACTTAATCCCAAAGGCAATGGAAGTAAAAGAAAAAAATAAATGAATGGGACCACATCAAACTATAAAGCTTCTGCACAGCAAAAGAAACCATCAACAAAACAAAAAAGCAACCAATCAACTGGGAGAAGATATTTGCAAACAATACTTCTGATAAAGGACTAATATCCAAAATATATAAAGAACTCATACAACTTGAAAAAAATAAAAAGATAATCTAAATAAATAATGGCAGAGGACCTAAAGAAATACTTTTCCAAGGAAGACGTACAGATGGTCTACAGATATATGAAAAGATGCTCAGCTTCACTAGTTATAATGCAAATCAAAACCACAAGATACCACCTTATACCTGTTAGAATGGCTATTATCAATAAGACAAGAAATAACAAGTGTTGGAGAGGATGTGGAGAAAAGGGAACACTTACACATTGCTGATGGGAATATAAATTGGTGAAGGCACCATGGAAAAGAGATGGAAGTTCCTCAGAAAAATTAAGAATAGAGCTATTACATGACCCAGCAATCCCATTTCTGGTTATCTACTCCAAAAATTTGAAAACACTTATTCATAAAGATATATGTACCCCTATGTTCACTGCGGCATTATTCACAGTAGCCAAGATATGGAAACAACCTGTGTCCTTTGAAGGATCATTGAATAAAAAATACGTGGTACATATATAGAATGGAATACTACTCAGCCATTAAAAAGATGAAATATTGCCATCTGCGACAACATGGATAAATCTTGAGAATATCATGCTAAGTGAAATAAGTCAGATGGAAAAGAACAAGAACCGTATGATTTCACTCACATGTGGGATATAAAACAAAAGGCAACAAATGAACAAATAAAACAAAAACAACTCCTAGATAAAGACAACAGAATGGTGGTTATCAGAGGGGAAGGGGAGCATGGGAAGGACGAAGAGGGTAATGGGGGTCAAATATATGGTGATAGATGGAGACTAGACTTAAAGTGGCGAGCATACAATGGAGTATGCAGATTTCATACTATAAAGTCGTACACCTGAAATTTATATGTTATTAACCAATGTTTCCCCAGTGAGTTTGATTTTTAGAAAAACATGACCCATCTATATGCTGCTTACAAGAGCCTCGTTTCAAATTGAATGACACATACAGACTGAAAATGAAGGGGTGAAAAAGGATATTTCATGTAAACATAAGTGAAAAGGAAGCTGAAGTAGCAATATTCATATCAGACAAAATAGACTTTAAAACAAAAAATGCAAAAAAAGACGAAGAAAGGAATTACATAAGGTTTCAATCGAAGAAGAGGATATAAAAATCCTAAATATGCACCCAACATAAGAACACCCACATATATAAAGCAATTATTAATGGACATAAAAGGAGATATCCACGGTAATACAATAATAATACGGGATTTTAATACCCCACTTATATCAATGAATAGATCATCCAGACAGTAATTTAATAAGGAAATAATGGCCTTAACTGTCACATTAGACCAGATCAACTTAATAGACATTTATAGAGCATTTCATCCCAAAACTGCAGAGTACACATTTTTTTCAAGTGCACATGAAACATTCTCCAGGATAGATAACAAATCGGGCAACAAAATAAGTGTCAATAAGTTCAGGAAAACTGAAATCATACCGAACAATTTTTCTGACCACGATGACATGAAACTATAAATCAACCATAGGACGAAAACTGGAAGAAACATTCCCAAGAAAACTGGGAAAACTAAACAATATACTACTAAATAACCAATGGATCAAAGAGGAAATCAAACAGGAGAGCAAAAACTATTTTGAAACAAATGAAAATAAAAACACAACTTTTCAAAATTTATGGAATGCAGCAAAGGCAGTTAAGAGGGACGTTCATAGGTATACAGGCATATCTCAAGAAACAAGAAAAATTACCAAAAAACAATCTTAACTCTACACCTAAAGTAACTAGAAAAAGAACAAACCCAAAGTAAACAGAAGAAAAGTAATAGTTAAGATCAGAGCAGAAATAAACTAAAGAGGAATTTTAAAAACAATAGAAAATATCAATAATACTAAGAGCTGGTGTTTTAAAAAAACAAACAAAATTGACAAACCTTTAGCTAAACTCACCAAGAAGATAAGAGAGAGAAAATAAGTAAAACCAGAAATGAAAGAGATGTTATAACCAATACCACAGAAATACAATGAACTATTAAAGAATACTATTAACAATTATAACCCAACAAATTCGACAATCTAGAAAAAAAAGATAAATTTCTAGAAGTACATAACCTTCCAAGACTGAACCAGGAAGAAACACAAACTCTAAACAGACCAATTACTAATAATGAAATTGAAGCAGTAATTCAAAAACTCCCAAAAAATAAAAGTCCAGAGCCAGATGACTTCACAGGTGAATTCTACCAAACATTCAAGGAAGAAATAATACTTGCTCTTCTTAAACTTTTCCAAAAAATTAAAGAGGATGGAATGTTTCCAAATTCATTCTACGAAGCCAACATCACCTTTATACCAAAACCAGACAAAGGTATTACCAAAAAAAAAAAAAAGAAAAGAAAAGAAAAAGAAAATTACAGGCCAATCTCCTTGATGAACGTAGATATAAAAATTCTCAACAAAATACTACCAAACTAGATTCAACAATACATTAAAATGATATACATTATATCCAAGTGGTATTCACCCCAGGTATCAATTTTGTCAATTTATGACAAAAACTCTCAACAAAGTGGGTATAGAAGGAACACATCTCAACATAATAAAGGCTTTATATGACAAATTCACAACTAATATCATACTCAATGGTGAAAAGCTGAAAGCTTTTCCTCTAAGATCAGAAACAAAACAAGGATGCCCACTTTCACCACTTCTACTCAACATAGTATTGGAAGTCCTGGCCATAGTGATCAAAGAAAAAGAAATAAAGGGCATCCAAACTGGAAAAGAAGTAAAACTCTCATTATTTACAGATGACATAATACTATATATAGAAAAACCTAAAGACTCCATGAAAAAACTACTAGAACTAATAAAGAAATTCAGTGAAGTTGCAGGATACAGAATCAATATTCAGAAATCTATTGCATCTCTATATGCCAGTAATGAATTATCAGAAGAAGGAATAAAGAAAACAATCCCATTTACAATTTCATTAAAAAGCATAAAATACCTAGGATAAATTTAAGCAGTAAGGTGAAAGACCTGTACTTGAAACTATAACACTGGAGAAAGGAACTGAACAAGTTATAAATAAATGGAAGGATATAGCTTGCTCATGGATTGGAAGGATTGATAATGTTAAAATGTCCTTACTGTCTAAAGCAATATATGGATTCAGTGCAATCCCTATTAAAATACCAATGGCATTCATCTCAGAATTAGAACAACTAATGCTAAAATTTATATGGAACCGTAGAAGACCCCAAATATCCAAAGCAATTTTGAAAAAGAACAAAATGGGTGTTGTAAGAGACACTTGCAGTCCTGGCAGGATGCCTGGTGCTTGGAGCAACAAGGACATCAGAAGCAGATGTGGACTTACACACAAGGACACATTGCAGGGAGGGTGCACATGCCCAACCGATTCTGGGACTTCTTGCTCTAGGGACTAAAAAAAAGATACTTGGGAAGAAATGGCTGAGAGCACAGGGGTGGCCTTGAGGCTGAATCTGGGAGTTGGCTGTAGCTTGTATTTACTAACCTGATAGTAACTAATTATAAATTACAAAGCCAGCATTGTGGGAAACTGAATAAAAGCCATGTAGACAAGGGTAGGGGATGCTAGCATTGCCATTCCTCTTCTCCCTTATCCATGTTAGTTGAACATTTCCAGATTCTGACTCTTCTTCCAAACCATCTCCGCAACAATGGGAAGTATCATGCTCCCTAATATCAAACTATACCATAAAGCTATAATAACCACAAAAGTATGGTACTAGCATAAAAAGATATATAGATCAATGGAATATAA